AGATATGAATCTTCAAAGATATGATATCTTTGAACTTAATGAGGAAGTGGATTAGGATAGGTCCTTAGGTACACCTAGATCACCTACTATTTATACAGCTAGGTACTGTGAAAAGACGAATACTAAGTGAATTTGTTAATAAGGATACATAATACAAAAACTATTCGACGTTGTAATCACATCGACGACCGATGTGATTACAAACGTGACTACTGAATCTAAGTTTGATTTCATAGGCAAAGCAACACACTGTAGTATTTCGATTATTTCCTTTAGTATCATTATCAAGTCTGAAATGTTGGCCGTAAGAAAGCAGCCTTCAAACGCAGAGCATTTTGAGAGTGAGATAATAATGCAAGTCATTAAGTACACAGATGTAGACAAACAATGACAGTACACCAATGGACACCTGGTCCTAGTCATGTCATTGTATCTCATGCTTGGAGATCTTTAGGATCTTAGTGTAAGTAACCCTGGACGTATTTCAGCTGTTGATGACGACGATGATTTATTATACTCACATAGCAATAGGGTCACCCCCTATCACATGGGACTAATAAGATAAATTGTGAAAAATGGGTTACATTGTACAGTGGAATTAAATGCCGTAAAGTGCACCTCTGCCTATTCCTTCCAGGATAAAAAGGCGTGATATTATGTTATGTTATTATACCTACTAATATCGAAATATAACGTACCGGTAAAAGCAGAAACCAAGGTCACAGAACATCACGTGCTAATCATCTGAGAACAGCTGATAACAGCAACGTTTCCACTTCAAGATCAAGGAAATTACAGAAACTATAACTAATTACTATGCAGAACACGTTCGTTATGGAATAAAAAATTATAATTAAAAATGGCGGCACGTACCATGCCGGTAGTTTCCGAGTGATAAGCTGGATAGATGGACATTCATAACCTACAGACACGTGCTTCCCACGTGAGCTGATTGTTGAAAATCCAATCAGTTTTACTGTTTTTTGTTATTTAAAATAGTTTGTTATAGAATATTATAAGTGTGTTATGTAGCGAGGCCTAGGGGGCTCCGGGGCAGGTCTCTTAGAGGACCCGGTGCCCCCTACAGGTGCTTAGAGTTGGCACCGGGGTGGTTTTGGCGAGATAAAAATCCCACACGTCACATTAGGCGCCTTTTGAAACAAGCAAAGTTTAGCAAGTTAGGAAATCATAATTATGTTTTAATGTAATACACTGCAATGGCGTTATCGAGTATAAAACTCTTACCTCTCATTAGTATTCTCTTTTAAACCACTGAGAATAAATGTAATAAGTACGAGTTAATTAACCAATGTCAATGAAATAAAAGACGTAGTTAGAAACAGTTTATTATCTAGATTCTATTATGTATAATGTAGTTAGATATTAAACACATAGGTAACTAAATTTGTCAGAAAAATCTGTATCACCGAATCATTCGTACCAATAAAATTTTCCTTTCAGATAATACAACCCCGTATTTTTAAGTCAGTTAATTAATATACATTCATCTAAGTATTACAATCACTTTTCTGAAAACGGCCTTAAAATCGGTTCAGCCAATAGCGCACAAACATTTATATACAGATATAATTGAGAACCTCCTTTTTTGAAGTCGGTTAAAAAGTTATTCAAAGACCAAAACCTACATAATCATTTAGAAGTCGATACTTTTGCAATATCATAAAACTGTATCAATCACAGAGTATGGACGGAATATTCTTAAAAGTATTGTAACAGTAATGTGGGGCAACGTTTATTGAAAAAAAAGAAAAAAAAGAAAGTAAGAATTATCTATACAAAAACAAGGCTGGACTAGAAAAAAGCCGGACAAAGAATTCCAATTAACTAAAATCGCGGGTTACTCACGTGAATATACTGAGAAAAGCTCTACTAGTTTCGAACCACAGATGGGTTCTTCCTCATGAGCAGCGTGCGCCGTGCCGCGCCGTCCGTCTTTGCGGATATTTAAGTAGTTAATTTAGTATGTCTCATGATAGTTATTATAACAACAAAGAATTCCAATGTTTATAAAATCTAATAATATGTAACAAAAAATGTCTCATTTGTTATAATTTGTGTAGTAGACATTACATCGGTCGATATGGTATTGTTTATAAAATTTCTAGAACGAAGATGATTAACACGTATGTTATCTAACATTCAGGTGCCATTCATAATCCACGTGGATACAGAAGATCAATTATAATAATAATCTCGAAATAAAACAGACGATAAAGTAGTAAGTCAACGGAGAATTTAATATATTCTGAATATAAAATGCGAACACACGACGGCGACGCAAAAACTTTGCGGATAGTGAACTTGTTTTTTGCGACCTTGTGAGCGTAACTGGAAAATTACAAATTTTTTACAAATTTTTCGAAATTTGGTTGATATCTTATAGATACCTAATACAGACAGCATTTTTACTTAATTTTATTTTCACACATAATCTTTTATACATATTTGTCTGGGCTTTTAAGAGAGACGGACTTCTGAGTTTGTTTCGGCATTTTTTCTCAGAATAGTCAGTTAGGAAATGTCGGCCTCATCGTTCGCTTGGTAAAACTGACCTGAAAAAGTGGTGCCTTGTAGCGTATTTGCAGAAATAAATTCACTTATTGTTTCACTTGAAAAATATTTCCTAAAATATTACTAATTTCGAGTTTAACTCGTCGAGTACCGGTTTTGTAGACACAATTATAGAATAATAGGTTGCGGTCACTGGTGACCGCTTGGTGTTTGACAGTTTAAATGCAAATTCTCTAACTTAATAGTTTTGTTTTATCTATTTATTTATTATTCATGTACACACATACAACATAAAGGACAGCATATATATAAAATTGAAGTACAAAGGTACCACCTATTCATATTGGAATTTCTTCTTGTGTACCTGGGGTAGGAAAAGTAATAATGATATACTGACACAGTGTGTAGTAACAAATAAAAAATTGAGATAGGAAATAGACTTAAAACTAAACAGAAAAAGTAACAAGACATTTTACTTATAATATTTAAAAAAATCTTCTTCACTACACAGTATAAAACAAAGTCGCTATCCGCCGTCTGTCTGTCCCTATGTATGCTTAGATCTTTAAAACTACGCAACGATTTTGATGCGGTTTTTTAAAATACATAGAGTGATTTTTAAGGAAAGTTTATATGTATAATACATGTATTTTGCACCCGTGCGGAGCAGGGGCGGGTCGCTAGTACAATATAATATTAAAATAAGTTTGAGATTGTGTATGTTTGTTACTTAATCACGCCCAAACGGCTGAAGAGATCAGGATAAAAATTGTAACAGGGATAGATTGTGGTCTGGAATACCACATAGGGTACGTTTATCCAACTTGAACGCGAACAGAAGCTAGTCACATTATATTTTTTCAATCAATCACACAGTCTCTGTGTGCTAAGCAACTTTCTCTTATCAAATGCCATTTTTTCCGTCGTGAGCTAATCAATTATTCACTAATAAGCAATTATTGTTCTATATTTAGCGTAAAAGGATATTATAACGCAAATAACTAACAGTGACTGACTAGACTAGACGATGAGCTTGACCTTGTAGTTGGTACAAGTCTTTAACCTGACAAGGATGTCTGTGAAGTGATAACAAATATAATTTAGAGATTTTTCACAGTAAAACGTTGGATGGATGTTCTACTCAAATACCACTTCTTTTGTCTCCGAAGGGGTAGACAGAGGTGAACATTACGCACATTTTATTTATGTTATGAGTCCCATATAATAGAGGGGGAGCCTTATATCGGGCACAATTCCAGACTTCGTGCGACTAAGATTTTTTCAATAACCCAGCTATACTTTACCCTACCCTGAAATCGAACCTGAGTCCCCTTGGCAGGCAGTCGCACTTGCGACCACTCGGCCAGTATTGGCTTTAGAGGTAGATGCATTGCAAATATATGATTTAGATATAAAGAACATTATTCGAGTCCATAAGCGATCTAATTTGAGGTAAAAGTAGCTCTTAGCTTATGCCCTAAATGTTTTGAAAATAAACACATTTTTTTTGGCTAACAGACCTACAAAGGTCATCACCATCAGACCGTGCTTGTCTACTGCTGAACATAGGCCTCTCCAATAGCACGCCACGAGCTCGATCTTCAAAAGTTCAAATTGTATGAACGTATATTTAGAATCCTGATAACCACAAGGATAGGATTACATTAAAACAATTAATCACATCACGTGTTAAAACAGCTACTCACTGAATAACTGAAAGGACCAGAAAAGGTCGTACAAAAGGACCATGTTAAGTGTAAACATAATGTGGCAGTCGCCTGACTGACAAGCAACACAATGACCTGTTAACACTCACAGACTTACAACACACACACAGTTACAATACTTTGAAATAGTAACAACATAACATGAATGTATGTAATTTGAAAATAAGAGAGGAAAATGAGCAATTTTACTGTTTCAAACAAAGGTAACATATTGGTATTATTATATTGTATAATTTGACTGTCATATACGATCTCATTGGCCAGAAAACAATATTTGACCGAACGCACTGATTTGGCTAACCTTGAAAATCGCCAAGAGACAATTCTTTCAATGCAGAAAATGCTGCAAACAGGTATCGTAAATGGTAACACTAAGTAGGATGCTGTGCAGTAATATGAACACAATTAACTTATTACTTCGACCTAGACCGTCGACAAATATTTAAAGTGATACAGCTGAAGCGAAAAATGTTAAGTAATCAGCATAACCTAGACTGAAAACGATCACGTATTTTTATTGGAAATTCTCGTTAAGAAAAGTATCCATTTAAAACTTACTAAGTATACAAACTATTCTAATAAACCCATTTTAGAAAAAGGCAACAAAACTGCAATTTTGTACAGTATCACGTCAAGGGTAAAGAACGGCGTGGTGTGCCAAAACGGTTATTTCTGGACTACGAAGTACGAAACATCAAGATCACGGTTATACAACCATTGTAAACGGAACATTCAACTTACCGAAGAAACTTGATCGAATAATCACAACACAACACAGGCCACTGTATTATAATCAAGACGATAACTTCGCGAGAATTAAAATTCCTGGAAACCGAGACGTCCGCGCTGTGTAGCGGTCAGATATCAACTGAATGACTCTTTCGCATTGTATAGTGTAGCCGTAGCGGCCATGCTTACACACATACACAAGTTGGATGAAAGTGAGGTGTGTGTACATGGCTTTTTTGTGTGTGCAAATCAGTCAACAAGATATACCTTGAATGACGCATTCGTGATTGCGTTTGAAATAAAGTATTCATTTTTAAAAAAAATAACTTTGTTTTTTGGTCTATAGTTTTGTCGCCATTGTGAATTCATTATGTAATGGACATTGGCAACAGTTAAAGATATTAAAGCGGAAAGCCACGATATGAAACGTTAAGTTTTCATTATTACCTAAATTTTAAAAGCAATTTTTATTACTCCGTAATTTGGGGCATGTTTTGGAAGTCTGACAATTAACATTACCTTGAATGATGCAAATTTAATTTCTGTTATTTGCAGGGCGAGAGCATCTGCGTAACATATTATGTACCTATCACATACTCAAAGCGAAGATTTCCGTAATAAATGAAGACTGTAAAGGCATTGTTTTTTCCTACGTGACCGTGAAACCACGTGTAGGATCACCGTGTGCAATGAGATTGCTATTATACATAAGTATAGTGTGTCATTAGGCTGTAATTTAGTGCTACCTACATGAATTAAAACTGTCTGTATTAGCAAGTTTGGAAAAATACTTCATCGTTCATTAAATTCAGTAAACAATTTTTTGTTTTGATTGCTCAGTTTTTATGCTTAAAATATGTATAACAAATAAACTAGTCATCATGAACATCAGGGGACAAATAGCTCACATTTATCATACTTAAAATTCATATCAAAACACAATATCGCATTTACGATAACCATTCCAACGAACGCGGAAGACACACCCATATTTTTAGCGATTTGCACTGATAAATGCTATCATTCATACAAGGCCACTTGTGTCAAACAACACGACACCACTTGAAATGAATTTCATCACGACATACGAATTTCGGCACAAAGGACCAAGTTGCAGGTTCCAAAGACCACGTTGTTCCAAAAATGGTCCTTTCTAGTCCATAAATGATCTAAAACCAATGCAATTTATTTATTTTCTTTAATCACAAAACACGGCATGCTACCACAACTGCAAGATGACGTAAGCAACAGTGGTTGGTGTGTCGCTCGTTCCGCTCTCTTATTGGCCGACCAGTGTCTTACGATCACTCGACTCGTGCGCAAGATTTTAACATTATGTTCCATTTATAGACACGTCTTGTAATTGTTGTTTTATGAGTGCATATGTTACCTACATGGCAATTATTTCATTCTTTAGATATCGATAATTTCAATTCTGATACAGCGTCATTGCAGACAATTTTAGATATGAAAGATTATTGAGTTTTTAAAAACCGCTGCGTTTATTTTCAAATACATAAAAAAGGAAGAACAAAATATCCAGAACCAAAACTTCTATCGTTTGCTTTAAGCAATTTTTATAAAGCATCATACATCATTTTTTTTTATAGATTTCACTATAAACAAAATCTATCAACATGTTCATTTTGGATAGCCTTGCCAGTATTCAAGTGTGATATGGTTAATGTATCCAAATCCAGCAAATGCAGCGCTGAGTAAGGCAAATCTGCAATATGCTTGTGCTGCGTGCCAAGCATTGCATTATGAATTACGATTGGATAAATCAAAAGCGTTGCTGTGACGTCAAAACATGAAAGTAGCGTAAACATATTGGGTATTCTTCAGTTTCAAATTAAATAGGTTTCTATAGAGACCACTTTAACTCAAAATACTTCCAATTTGTCGTTTGAAATTACAGTACAAGAATTAACAAAAATGTGGATCCGAAAAATGTATAAGTCCCAAAAAAGAAAATATAGTCTTAACTTGTTACTTACATAATTATCCTTCAAAGTTATGTCAGACTATCACAGGATAGATAGACAATAGATTGTTAATTATCGCAATACTGATTAGAAGTTCAGGCACACGACCAGAACCAGACCCGTGCGGCGCGTTGCGTTTACCACCACAGATGGGGCTAATGCCCGATACGGAGCCGCGGAAGGCCTAACGGGTTGCCGGGCTCGAGTAGGAACGGGGTGGTTTTTAGTCAGTAAGAGTCTGACACTCCCTCTCGCCTAACCCAACGCGGGAGAAGTCATTGGATCACTTTCTCCCTTCAAAAAAGACACAATAAGTCCACTGCCGTGAAATCTTTAAACATTAGGTAATAACTAAAATTGCCTAGGTAAATAAAATCCTAATTCCAAAGTCATGACATTTCCAGAGCAAATAAAGTTGGTTGGACTTTACACCTAAAAGTTTAAGGCCTCAATTCATTTTGATGTTATACTGGTAGTACAGGAACTTACGACATATTTGAATAGATTTCATCATCCATGTGCGAGATTAAAAGAAGAGGTATTTTCTCTCATCAAGTCTTTAGCACTTTCATCATTTACTTAAAAAGATAAGGTACTGGGAATGACCTAATTATGGGTTGTGTGCTTTTATGGGATTATAAAATGATAACCTCATCCTTTTTGGGAAGGCGATTAACAAGAGGTTATAGGATACATTTGAATTGCTGCCTCATTAAGAAACTACGTTCTAGAAAGCGATGAATTTTACTCTTGCCGTACTCAGAGACGAACTAACAAACGGTGAAGAAAAACATCTTAAACTGTCAAACAGCAAGCGGTCACCGGTGACCGCAACCTATTGTTCTGATAATTGTGTCTATAATGACGGTATTCGACGAGTTAAGGAAACATAATTTCTAATTATTAGTTTGAACTTGTCAACCAGCATTGAGCAAGCGTGGTGGTTAATGCTCAAACCTTCTTCGTGTGAGAAGAGGCTTTGCTCAGCAGAGGCATTTATAGGCTGTTGATGTGATGGTGTGATGTACTCAGAGATATTTAATAACTATGTCTAGTTAAACTATTCCTTAGTAAAGATTTTGTTCCGAAAAGAATTGCTATAACCGAGTTAAGTAGCCATTAAACTGTCAAACACCAAGCGGTCACCGGTGACCGCAACCTATTGTTCTATAATTGTGTCTACAAAACCGGTACTCGACGAGTATGGCTCTAAGTCTGTACTCTGAGGTTATTGATGATGGTCTAAAATCCATAAGTCAATTAAGTATTGAAAAAATATTAGGCACGTTATTTTAATTTGTCGTAGTTATAAGAAAACAATACTTAAATAAAACGAATCAAAAATCAAAGTTTAGGAGTATAAAACGTATACACAAAACTGCCTCCACGCGACATTTCAAATCAATTTATCGTCGAAAGTATGTGTCTGTAAGAAAATAAAAAATACATGTCTAATTATTTTTAAATAATCTATCAGACGGACATAAAAATAAAAATTATTCATCTACCCTATTATTATAAAAAAGGTAATGTTCTATCAGAAGTAAAAGAGGTTGTGCAGTTTTTGGAACAATTATTCATTTCACCATTTCGAGGCACTTACGTACGCGGCACGGAACGATACTGTGTGAGCGAGACAAATAATGGAGTTACAAATTCAATGCAAATGATATCAGTTACATCTCCATTTGTAATTAATGGACTAACAATGTCGACATTGTACACAAAGTCGTATGTTGCAGGCTGTAAAACTAATATTTATTTTTGTAATAAACGTGCTATTATCTAGTAGTTTTTTATATTAGACGGGACTCACGTATGACCACTATCTCGCCTGGTGGTAAGCGATGTGGCCTACGATGGAGCACGTCGTCCCATAAGCAACCTATTCACTCGACCTTTGAAGACACCCAAGTTATACACTACTATCTAGTAGTTATCCTACTATTCTCTTACAGTGTTTTAGTATTATAAATGCGAAAGTATGTTAGGATGTATGGACATATCAATATACTTAGACACTACAGATTCGATCGATATAAAATGTGGCACTGTTATGGACTATATTCTAGAATAACACTAGGTACTTTTTTTAAAAAACGTTGCCCCACACTAGAATTTTCTCCTGTGTCGTGGGTGCGTTTACAAACATAAAGTTCACATACACCCAGACCGGGAACAACAATTTGTGGATCACACAAAGTGTTGTTCCGGGCGGGAATCGAACCCGCGACACGTTGCACGGCAGCCGGTTGTCCAGCCACCGCACCCACCCCAGCACAGTTGGTGGAACAAGCCAATTGCTCCATATTTACTAACTGATTTAATTTCAACATTAAAATACTGCTATCACTCTGAACTCTCGTTTAGACAAGAACACCATAGGTTAGGAAAGACTGAATCAAGATTCCCTTTTAAGGCTTTTCACAAGACCTTCTACAGCATTAACCGCCCAAGATCAGAAGACTCATATCATACATCACAGTGTCATTAGCACCAATGAACTAATGCTGTCGTAAACTAAAGATCGATGGAAGGAAACGATTGCGTCCTCTTTCCATAGGTACTTAAGTATCTACCTATCTGCAACCTGTAGCTAATTAAGCATGAGGATAACCTTTGACCTAAACGTTATATGACACGAAGGTGCAGTCATCTGGCAGTGTCGCTCCAAGGTCTTTCAGTTCTAATATACAACTTACTTCTATAGCTATCCAATATATGATACATCTCAGGAACTCGACTCATAATTAGGTATGCCAAAATGGTGGACTGAGGTGTTGAGACAGTATTTTTTTTATTCAGACTTGTTCAGTTATGTATTACTTAATCCAATTGTAGCTGCGGAATGGATAATATCAACTCTACAATAATTAGCATAGTACCCAATAATACTTTACCGACCTTGAACGACGTATGTCATGTTAAAGACCTACTCCATAAGAAGCCTTGAACTCTCCCACAATATAAGATAAGATTACGAAGAAACTAGCCACCACAGTGAGCATTTTGCGTAAACAATAAATTCGACTCATTATCGACAGAATGCCCCTAACTATACACTTACAAACGCACACAAACACAACTGGCGGCCATGACAGTCCGACACGACAAGCCTCCAAATCCGTGCTTTCTGATTGGCTGGTTA